GCCCAGGTTCGAGTCACGCTGCGGGTGTTGATGAGACTCAGGCGAGGTGGAAACTCCAGTCCACACTTTGAGTAGCATTGTTATGTGAAATTAAACGTAAACGTAAGGCTTAATTATATGATTTAGGGAAAGTTCGACTACCAGTCTTTTATTACTTTAAATGAAATAGAGTGAGTGCATTTATTATGTAGTGGTTATATGTCGATATGACGCCTAAAATCCAGTTTCTATAAGAATTGAATTGCTGAAGAAATCTGAAAACGGTTGAAACGGCCATTCAGTCTGAAACAGGCAAGTAAAATTGGCTGTATTCAAATAAAATCAATAACTCTTGAATAAGATGCCTGTTACCTAAAGTCGCATGTGGTAATGAAGGACTGAAAGTGTAATTTTTCCCACAATTCGATCAGTATTCATCCCGTTTCCAGTGAATTTCACACATTCTTATTCCTACATGAATGGACTTTAATTTCTACCTCTCCTGATCTAGTCCCATCATCATTCCGAGCGAGAATATAATCTGTGGGTGGTATAATCCCACTCAATTCGAACACGAGCTACAATAAAGGTGAATATATTTTGGTATAGATTTTATGAGATGACTCACTGAGTGGACAAGAGTAGACTATAAGAAATAGGTGCGGTGGCAGCCGTCCATCTTTCTTATATTCCTATTTGGTGTCCTGCTCTGTTAAATTCTATCATTGTTGAGGGAACTTTCATCTCTTCTTCATGCACTTTTATACGAAATGAAAGTCCCCCCAACAATGTTATCTCAGGTGATTCATCGAAACCCAGTTTCTCTTTATATCTATTGGTTCTATCGCATTAAGGTTGAAAGCTCAGCATGGAGTCATCATGGTCGCGGGACGGTGGGTGAAGGACATATTAGCACAAAGCTACAGTCACCGCCCTTCGTCCTTCCGCTAGGCAATTACTTATCGTGTTGGTTCGAACTTTTTTTTCGCAACTCGGTTGGAGCGCCAGGGAGACCTTGCGGAACTTACCTAGTCCTGTGTCCTCTGTCATGTTATTCGTGGTTCCCAGCATTGGACTATTGGCTGGGTACATTCCCAAACGTTTCGCCGGCATTGTAGTCGGCATCGTCAATGAGAGGCGCCATCGAATATGGAAGGAATAAAGAAAAAATGATGGATATGTCTACTCTGTGAGAATTGGCTCAAAAGCCACGGACGTTAATAGGGAAATGGAACATTCGTAAATCCTGAAACAAATGACAACCCTCTTCACCAACTTGCCCACACAACATAAAAGGGTCGACAAAATGGAGTCATCGGAGAGACGGGAAGTACAATCGGCGCAAGGATCAAAGAATACCAGTGTCTATGCAGAAAAATGGATACGGAAAGACTGGCCTCATATTGGGAAATATCAGGAAACGGAAGATAAGAGAGGCTGTGGCATCCTCTTTCATAGGAACTTGGTGAACAGGAGATTGGAAGAGGGAATAGTCAGCGATAATTTCATGTACTGTCTGAACAGATTTGGAGATCCAGCCACAAAAGGGCACACATTTTGATGATTGGAATGTAAACAAGTGAAAAGTTGTGATGGGGCGGCAGTGGGATAAGAGGGTAAAGAGTAGATAGATAGTCCAGGACAGAAAGAGGAGTAATAGTGTAACCGTTTCCAGCAGAACAGTTGTCAAGGGATC